TTTCCTGACTTACTAATTTTAGCCATTCTGACTGGAGTGAGGCGGTATCTCATTGTGGTTTTGATTTGTATTTCTCTGATGATGAGTGATGTGGAACATTTTTTCATGTGTCTGTTAGGCGTAAGAGAGAATCTTAAGCAGGCTCCACACCCAGTGTGGAGCCCAGTGTAGGGCTTGATCTCACGACCCTGAGATCATGGCCTGACCCAAAATCAAGAGTCAGACACTTAACCAGCTTAGCCATCTGGGTAGGTGCTCCATTGGCTTTCATTTCTTGGCTGCTTTACATTTTATCCATGAGGTCATTTGAAGTGGCCTACACACCCAAAAGCCTTTATTTCTCATTAAGCTACTTTTTCATCACTATCAACATGTTCTTAGGAAAAAAGAAAATTCTTTGTATTTTGTCAAAATGGGATGGTTCTACAAAGTAATGGAAAGTTTGGATAAAACATCCATCTCTCAGTAGACAGTGACAAAAAATAAGATTGCTTCTGGATATTGTAGTGTGTCAAGGTAAATCTAGACTGGAGACTAAGACCATCTATCTTTTTCACTTTAAGTATATGGAGAATAATACAATGGTGAAAAATTTGGCCTTGTCTGCATACAATCAATAACCTGACTTGCAAAGCTTGGATAACATAAATACTACTTTAAAGGTCAGCTGCAGGTATAATTTCTTATGCCTCTTGGGATCCTAGGAATTCCATATATTCTTTTCTCTTGGGTACTGGTTAATTAGGTTTTATTGTGGCAATGGTTTAAACCTTAGTGTTGATGGACATTTTCAGTCAGAATAAATGGCAAAAGATTTTTAAAAAAGCATTAAATGATGGCAGATACTACTAAACTTTGATTTACAGTTTTGCTTCCTATACCAAGCAAGTTTCTCTGTTGACTAAATGAGAAGGGTATTCCAGCTAACTTAAGCAGAAAAGGGATTTATTGGAAGGATGTTATATAATTCACAGAATTGATAAGAATCATGGAGAAATAGACTCAGAAAATAGGAAGGAACCAAAGACAGTTGAGAATTGGTTTGTGCTTATGCCAAAGAGAAAGTTTGATTAGAAAGCCCGCTCTGTTTCTATGACTGAGTTGTTCCTGCATCTGTATTACCCCTTCAAGGTTGAAATTACTTTGTGGCTGCATCCCACTGACTACCTAGAGCAGTAGTTCTCTTGTTTCCAGCTTATTCTCTTGGGTCAAAACTTTTTGTAACAATTCTTGTATCACTTGGCATTTGCACTGTTGATTATGGAAGCAATGGTAGGCAAAAGTTATAGCACCTAGCATGAATTAAGACAGCACATATGTATATATCCTATATATATATATGATACACATATGTTATATATTGTGTCAGAGTGTATTAATTTTGTATATAGTCTAGAGCTCCATCTTTCTCATTTGACCAAATGTCACTGGATATTTTCAGAGCTATTTTACCAGTAAGTTGATAATGTAATGTGAGGATATCATTATGGAATATATTGCCTGGGTGTGAATCCTAACTTCCGCACTTAACTAGCTGTGAGATGCTGGGCAACGTTTAAGTTGTCTAAGCCCCAGTTACTTCTTCTGTAAAATGGGGATGATGATACTTACCGCATAGAAAAATTGTGAGGATTAAATAAGTTAATACAAATATATTATTTAGAACAATGCATGGTTTATGTAAATATTAGGTGAATATTAATTTTCATTATCATTTTGATTATTTTGGGGGAAGAAAAATTTTTCTCTGCCTTTGAAGGTTCTTCTGCTCTAAGTTTTTTTTTGTTTTTAAGATTTTATTTATTTATTTGAGAGAAAGAGAGCACAAGCAGGGGGAGTGGCAGAGAAAGAGGGAGAAGCAGGCTCCCTGCTGAGCAGGGAGCCCAGGTGGGTCTTGATCCCAGACCCTGATATCATGACTTGAACCAAAGGCAGATGTTTAACCGACTGAGCCACACAGGCGCCCTGGAGCTGGTCTGAGAATTAAATTGACATGAGACAGATTGACAAAAGAAAATCAAATTAATTACCTATAGGGAATCCACATAATTATGAGATTCTAAAGACAGCCAGGCAAAATGAGATATATATGTCATCCTGAATTTAGGAGAAAGGGGTAGGAAAACAATTCACAGGAAGACGAAAAAGAGTAAATGTTTGGTAAACAAATGTTAGGCCCTATAGAAATAGTAGGAACAATACGCTATAGAGAGGACTTTAATCAAAGATCAAAATTGCTTAAGTTCCTCAAGGTCTACTGCCCTGAGTTCATACTTTAATGTGATTTATCTGCAGTGATTGATAGCTCTCCCTGGAGCAAGTCCTTTATTTGAGTTCTCTTAGGCAGTTAGGGGGAAGGTCAGAGTTTCTAATTATGTCTTTTGAGCCTTGATTATTTTTGTTTTTAACTCAAAAATATCTGAATGTCCCAGTGACATATCTGGGGGCAAGTAACTCACTCTGAACCCCCACATTATCTCATTTTCAAATCTGGTCTCTGATAAGGTGGTCACAAGAGAAGGGACCATAGATATGAATCTGAGCTCTCTGGTTTTTGTAGAGCTGGGTAACTGACTCCTCAGGTTAGGGTATTGACCTGCAAGTATGAACTACTGGTTTAATTTAATTTAATTTTTATTTTTTAAAAAGATTTTATTTATTTGAGATAGAGTGAGAGAGAAAGAGTGAGAGAGCACAAGTTGGGAGAGGGGTAATGGGAGGGGGAAAAGCAGGCTCTCCATTGAGCAGGGACCCTGATGTAGGGCTTGATCCCAGGACTGTGGGATCGTGACTTGAGCCAAAGGCAGATGCTCAACCGACTGAATCACCCAGGTGCTCCTGCTACTGGTTTTAGATTTAAAATGTATAATGTGAGCTTTTCCATCACGTTTCCTACTAGTTGTATGTCAGCAGCAGCCAATGTAGTACAAAAATGAACAAATTGCAAACAAATATTCAAGAATAAAACTTGAGAAAAATATATCCTATTTAGTTTGATAGCGATTTTTTTCTTTGTAGACAGGTACAAATAATGGTGATTTTTTTGTTGTTGTATATAATAGAAGCTGTAAAATAATATATTTCTTTAAGTAATCTTGTTTAATTAGTGATTATTTGACAAATATTAGGATCACATCTTTTTTTGTTAATATCTGAGGTTTTTTTCCTTAAAAGACTTTTTTTTTTCCCTAGGGTAGGGCTATGACTTGAGTTTTTAGCTGCAGCTGTATCTGTAATGGCATAAGTTCATAACAAATTTTTGCTGAATAAGTAATATATTTTCATGTGGAGTCACATTTTCTAGTCTGCTTGAAAATTATTTTCAAGAGAGTGTGCTTTGTGGTGACTGTGGTTTATAATACTATACTGCATATTTGAAATTGCTAAGAGAATAGGTCTTAAAAGTTGTCATAAGAAAAAAAATTTTGAAACTATTTATGGTGACTGATGTTAACTAGACTTATTGTGATAACTTTGCAATATATGTAAATAGTGAATCATATTGTCCACTTGAAATTAATATAATGTTATATGTCAGTTATATCTCAATTTTAAAAAAGGAGGCTGTTAAAATTCACTAAATACAAAGCAAATTCATGGGGTGTTGCAGGGAGCTGTCACTATATTGTGATGGTGGGTGGGTGTGAGGTGGGATGGGGAAGGAAGAATAAAATGTGCTGGAGAATATATCTCAGACGTGTAGTTAAGTATAGGTGGATAATATAATTGAACCTTTGATTTTTTTTGCTTTGTTTTAAATGTCCTGCTCTCCTCAAAATCCTATTTTAATAGTATATGGGGCTGGCCAAGCCTCCAGATGCCTACACTGTTAAAGCTCCCTTTCAAGGGAAACTGTCTTGTCCTTAGGCCTTGCTGTATGGATAGTCCCATTTTGTATTTAGGCATAACCCTTTGCTGTGGCCAAGTGAATACTAGAAAACGAAACCAAGAACAGTGAATTATAGCTTGATAGGAGGAGATCAGCTGGGTTAATCAGATCTTTCCCTGGAGATTTAAAAAAAAAATTCAGGTTGTGGAGAGATGGAGACAGTTAACAGTGGGGACAAAAGTTGAAACAGTATATTAGGAAATATCTTGAGGTAAACAGGATAAGAAGTGATATGGAGAAGCAAAAATATGAGAAATTAGGAATAGCTATTTTTTTTTATTTTTTTATTTATTTTTTTTAATTTTATTTTTTATAAACATATATTTTTTTTCCCCAGGGGTACAGGTCTGTGAATCGCCAGGTTTACACACTTCACAGCACTCACCATAGCACATACCCTCCCCAGTGTCCATAATAACCCCACCCCCAACCCCCCTCCCCCCAGCAACCCTCAGTTTGTTTGTGAGATTAAGAGTCACTTATGGTTTATCTTAGGAATAGCTATTTAATAGTGGAATGGAGAGTCAGATATTTGGAATTAAGCTGTATAATTAAGGAGGAGAGCAATAGAGAAAAGATTGCCTCTTTGAGTAATTGATTCATTCCTTTATTCAGCAAGAATTTATTGAATTACTACTGTTCTACCCCAAGAGTACTGCTCCGGAGAAGAGTTAAGTCAGTGGGGCACCTTGCTGGTCGGTTGAGCATGTGCCTTTTGATCTCAGGGACCTGAGTTAGAGCCCCATGTTGGGTATGGAGCCTGCTTTAAAAAAAACAAAAAAACAAAAAACAATAACAAAAAGAGTGAAGCCAGTGATTCTCAACTGGCTGTGATTTTTGCCTACCAGAGAATATTTGGCAATGTCTATAGAGACATTTTGGTTGTCACAGCCTGGAAGGGAGAGTGTTATTTGTATTCTAATGAGTAGAGGCCAGGGATGCTGCTAAACACAATGCCCAGAACAATTCTTACCAAAAAAAAAAAAAAAAAATCTGACTCAAAATGTTAATAATGCTGAAATTGAGACCCCCTGGGATAAGCCATCATAAGTATGTATTTCACAGAATAATTATTTTCTTGTAGTTAACATTTACCTTTCTTTGTTTTCAGAAGTGAGGACGTTTACTGGAGTAAAATGGAGGCCTCAGTAATACTACCCATTCTGAAGAAAAAACTTGCGTTCCTTTCAGGTATGCTTTCTTCTTAAAACTGGAAGTGTTTGATATATAAATTTGTTTAAACTTTTTCCTTTGGTAAGTTCAACAGAAATGCATTTTTCTGTGAAGGTTTCATTTCAGAGATATTGCTGAGACCTCTTTTAATCAGAGTGGATAGCTGTGCGCGAGCCACCTCTGTCACTGTTGGTACTTGGCAGGCCAATATTTACTCTATAATTGATTAAAATGACCTCTGCAAGGTAGATGTCATATCTTTTTATATAAAAATGAAATAATACGGGCCAAGAATAATTGACTAACCAGCACCTAAATAATTGTTTTTGAAATATAGAATTAGTTTTTATGATATCCTGCATCATAACTTTTGTCTTCCATCTTCCTGTGAGATAGTTTCAGTGCAGTAGGAGTTGTTAGGAAATACCAGTTACATGGTTTTCACTTTTTACTCTTCAAATTGGTTTATACAGGCTTGAATTTTTCTCTGGCTATTAACCTAAAGTGTGTATCAGCTAAGAATTGGAGAGAAGCTGAAAGATACTTTATTAGTTGCAGGGTACTTCAGGTATATTGATTATCTGGAATTAAGGATCATTGAGTAAATTTGCGTATGCTTTAGAATAGGTTATATGGCCTGCCTGTTTAGAGTTACTTGGACTTTTTTTTATCTTGCTTTTTATTTCCCTTTTACTTTAGATCCTATCATAATTGTCTTGATCATTATGCTACCAACAGTCTTTTTTAAAAAGTATATTGTATCTCTCTTTGAATTGCTATGTTTTTCTAGTGCAGATTATAAAGGACAAAATAAGATATTGAATTCCACTAGAATTCTTGTTTCCTTATTTAATGTATTTTCTTTTTTCTTTCTTAAGATTTTATTTATTATTTGACAGAGAGAGACACAGTGAGAGAGGGAACAAAAGCAGGGGGAGTGAGAGAGGGAGAAGCATGCTTCCTGCTGAGCAGGGAGCCAGATGCAGGGCTCAATCCTAGTACCCTGGGATCATGACCTGAGCTGAAGGCATATGCTTACTGACAGAGCCACCCAGGCGTCCCTGTATTTGCTTTTTTAAAGAACAACTTCTTTCCTTACCAGTTGATGCTGATGTTTTCTCCATTCTTTTCTGATATTAATGGTGTTACAGGAAACATTCTTATTCATCGTTCATGCACTTTGTACAAGTTTAGCAGTATAAATTCCCATGTAAGTGGAGCTGTTAAAGAGAATTTACATTTAAATTTATGTTAGGTTTTGTCAGATTACCCTCTAAGAGTATTTCAATTTCTCTTTCTCCCACCAGTTTAAGAAAATGCCTTTTTGCCCACACTGTTGCTATGTGGATATTATTCTTCTGTAGTCTTTATCATTGACATATTTTCATCTTTATGACACTTATCTATGTGCAGCATTTCACTCTGTTGGACATATCTACTTTTTAAAAAAAAATTTTTATTAACATATAATGTATTATTAGCCCCAGGGGTACAGGTCTGTGAATCGCCAGGTTTACACACTTCACAGCACTCACCATAGCACATACCTTCCTCAGTCCCCCCCCTCCCCCCGGCAACCCTCAGTTTGTTTTGTGAGATTAAGAGTCTCTTTTATGGTTTGTGTCCCTCGTTTATGGTTTGTGTCCCTCGTGATCCCATCTTGTTTCGTGTATTCTTTTCCTACCCTCAGATCCCCCACGTTGCCCCTCAACTTCCTCATATCTGGAAGATCGTATGATAATTCTTTCTCTGATTAACTTATTTCGCTAAGCATAATACTCTCTAGTTCTATCCACATCGTTGCAAATGGCAAGATTTCATTTCTTTTGACAGCTGCGTGGTATTCCATTGTCATATCTACTTTTTTTTTTTAAGATTTTATTTATTTATTGGACAGAGATCACAAGTAGGCAGCGAGGCTGGCAGAAAGAGAGAGGGAAGCAGGCTCCCCGCTGAGCAGAGAGCCCAGTGCGGGGCTTGATCCCAGGACCTTGAGACCGTGGTAGCCGAAGGCAGAGGCTCACCCCACTGAGCCACTCAGGCGCCCCCATATCTACTTTTTTAAAAAAATATTTATTTAGAGGGTGTGGGTGCGTGTGCACATGTGCAAGGGTGGGGGGAGAGAGTCCTTGAGCAGACCCCCTGCTGAGCATGGAGCCAGTCTCGGGGCTAGATCTTAAGATCCTGAGATCATGACCTGAGCTGAAACCAAGAGTCAGTTGCTTAACTGACTGAGCCACCAAAGCACCCCAGCCATATCTACCTTGAAGATCTTTTTTCTCTTGGCTTTTTCTTTTACTCTAGTAATTATTTTATTGTTCCTTAGTGAAGGCTGAGGACATGAGGTTAAATGTAGTTCTGTATGTTAGAACTGTCCTCTGAAGACAAATGCACAGTGGGTCAGGATGCTGCAGTACAGATATGAACCTTTTTTGCACATTTAGTTTAATGCAGGCGTAAAGCTTAGCAATTTTTGACTAGCAAATGAAATTTCCCTTAGCCCATACTTCTTGACTTTCTTTATTGACTATTATGTCAACCAATAATTTTTGCCTTTTTTAATAATAGAGAAAAACTTTTCAAACCAAAATCATTTCAAGGATTCAGCTTGAAAACCATGGGTGCAATCCATTTAAAAAACAAAACAAAACAAAACTTGAACAAAAACCATAGGTAGTTGAAGTCACTATTGAATATCTATTAAGTTGAACCATTTAAAATTACATTTATTCATCTTAGACTGGTTGAATGTCATTAATTTATAAGGTTAGCCTAATAAAAAGAAGATTATTTGTGGTTGGTCCATCATGAATTGCCCTCATGTCACTCAAAGGATTTGTTTTTTTTACTTCACAGCTTTCAGTTTTTAGTGATAGATTTCCAGAGATCATATAAAATTTTTACCTTTAGTATTTACTGTTTTTTAAGCTTCTGAAATTGCCAGAAATGTCAGTTGGGTCAGAGAATGGACATCAGTGTCAAAATTAGTCACATGGGGAATTTTCACAGAAGATATGCGTGTATAAAAGTATTAGTTAGATTTTAATGCCTATGGAAGATTGGAGAGGGCTTGAGCATCCACAAAATGCAAGTATGTTCCACTGCCTGGCTTTCAGGCTTCCACAGCCAGGTCCCATGTGCTCTTCACTGCTGGGCAGAACTTTCTTTCTTGCCTCATGAATGCAGAAGTCCTGTCTGACCTCTGTGAGTTCACTCAGATCATTCCTCATCACAGAATATTCTAATACTCTTAACTTGGTTTATAAATTCTGCCCATTTTTCTTAAGTCTTAACTTTTCTACGAAGCTTTTCACCTTTATCATAGCTCTTATCATTTTCTCATTTTCTAAATCCTTTTTTATAATACTTTATATGTATTATACAACACAGTCTAGCAGATAAACTTATATTTCATACTGTTATTTCTTATGATGTAAAGCCTTTCTTCCTGGGTTGATTGGAAATTTACTTTACTTGTAAATGCTTATAGTGCTAGGTGTACAGTAGGAGCTCAATGAATTCATTACATTAAGAAGCAGCCTGAAGAAAATTAAACAGAATGATAATTGCTGTGTTTAAGTGAAGTTTTCATGGATGAATTTTTTTCTCTTATTCTTTCTAAATTTGGTATAATTTTTCTATACTACTATAAACATTTACAATGTATAAAATAAGCAGCTATTAGATAGTTCTATTTACTTATATCTTAAATACTATTTGTTTTAGTAGCATTGGACCCAAACATATTTATTTAGTGCTTTAATACCTATTACATGTTGTATTTATGTCTTTTTTTTCCTAATAGGAGGAAAGGACAGACGGAGTGGCCTCATTCTGACAATTCCATTATGCCTGGAACAGACAAATATGGACGAGCTGAGTGTTACCTTAGACTACCTACTCAGCATTCCAAGGTGACTCTATAGGTGTTTTTTAAAAAATCTTGATATGTTGTCATTCACTTACTAATGTTTTCTGTTATTAAGGTGTATGTTGCTATGTCACCTGCTTTTATTAGTGAAATTATAATTAAAAACACTAGAATCAGTCTTTTCTGATACAACACCAAATAAAAGAATTATTGTATGCTTTTAAGGCACTGGATAATGTGATACAGATTTCCAAAATGTATGCGCTGTCAACTTTTAAGGAACACAAAGACTGAGCATCTATGTACCATGCGACTTAAGAAAACACAGAGAAGTGAATTTGGCAGAAAGCATCTTTTATTTAAATAGCTATTTCACTATATAGATATAAATCTGTAAGTTTTAATATACTGAGTAAAGGCTATTAGGAGTTCAAAGCATTTTTATTTTAAAAAATGCAAAAAATGTGTATGTTTTAATCAAAGATCCTTGGATTTTGTATTTCTTGGGTGAAGACAGACAAACTTTTCTTTTTGCTTGAGCTTCCCCATCACTTCAAAAACAAAAATAAGCTCCCTCCCCAACTTCCTCTTCTATATGTGATATTTGGAGGCTGAAGTCTGACTACGTGTTAAAATCATCTGGAGATTTTTTTTTTTTCAAAATTCTAATGCTCTTGAGAGACTCTGATTGAATTGTTCCTGGGAAGTCTGCTCATCAGATGTTTAAAAAAAAAAATTGTTTAATGGGGTGCCTGGCTGGCTTAGTTGGTGGAACATATAACTCTGGATCTTGGGGTTGTGAGTTCAAGCCCGACATTGGGTGTAGATATTACTTAAGATCTTTAAAAAAAAAATTCCTTGGGGCTCCTGGGACCCTCAGTTGATTTAAGTATCTGACTCTTGATTTTGGCTTGGGTCATAATCTCAGGGTCCTGGGATCAGGCCCTGTGTTGGGCTCCACGCTAAGTGTGGAGTCTGGTTGGGATTCTCTTTCTCCCTCTGCACTCCCTCATCCCCCCGCTCATTTTGAATAAAATCTTTTAAAAAAATCCTTCACAAACCTTTAAGCTTCCCAGATAATTCTTATTTACAATCAGATTTGCAAGCCACTGCAATAAAGAATGAGAATGAGGGGGCGCCTGGGTGGCTCAGTGGGTTAAGCCTCCGCCTTCGGCTCAGGTCGTAATCTCAGGATCCTGGGATCGAGCCCCGCATCGGGCTCTCTGCTCAGCAGGGAGCCTGCTTCTTCCTCCTCCTCTCTCTCTCTACCTGCCTCTCTGCATACTTGTGGTCTCTGTCTGTCAAATAAGTAAATAAAATCTTTCAAAAAAAAAAAAAAAGAATGAGAATGAGGACAGATTTTTTTGTTTGTAAAATATATATAGAGGTGGTAAAAGGAACAAAACTCTCTTATATAATGCTCTTAAGCTCCAGCTAATGAATTTTAAACATTTTAGTCAGAACAGTTCTTTGTATTCTTCCCGTATTTGCATTATTGGCATAATAGATTATTTCATTTTAAGCCACTTTGCCGAGAACAGGGTTAAAACTATATTTTAGAACCACTGACTTTAATCATACCTGCTTCCAGTATTGGCCTGTAATTTAATGATTCTCTTGCTGATTGGTTTTTCTGTATTGGGGAAATAGATGTCTTCAAGTGAGAATTTTCAATTTTTTTTTTTTTTACTTTCTGGAAAGGAAAGTTAGCAGAACTGACAGTGTGTTAGTATTGAATAACCTTCAATAACTCTGAGCTGAATGCTGATTTGTATTATTCACCATTAAATAACAAACTGTTTCTAGGTAAATGATACCAGCTGGAGTACAGCTAACAAATTCTAAAAAAGTATGCATGATTCATAGATGGTTACATGTGGTTAGTGAACTTAGAGGCCATCTGAACCAACTGTCTTATTATGTAGACGAGGGAATTGAGACTCAGGTTAGAGTTACTTGCCCAGGATTACACAGCTAATTAGTAGTAGAGCTGGGACTAGAATCTATCATTGCTGACACCAATCCAGAGCTCTTAATATTTCAAATGAATAGAATTTAGTATAGTTGAATCTTAGGTGAGGTGAGGTTAGGTTCTGAAGTTGGAATGTACTATACAAATTACTGATAGTCAAAATTATCCATGAAAAATGCCTAAGTAAGGATTAGAGATTAGAGACTTACAAACTGTTTTTTCATGAACATGCTAGTTTTCCTAGCATGGACACTGGAGAAATGTGTCACTGAGGTTACGTTCCAGAAGACACATTCAGCTTGTGATAAAGTTTGTAATAAAAAAGTGCATGCTTACGGGGTGCCTGGGTGGCTCAGTTGGTTAAGTTTCCCTTTGGCTCAGGTCATGATCCCAGGGTCCTGGGCTCTGCTCAGCAGGGAATCTACTTTTCCCTCTACCCCTCCCCTCACTTATGTTCTCTCTCTCTCTCTCAAATAAATGAATAAAATCTTTAAAAAAATTAAAAAAAAAAAAGAAAATGCATGCTTGTATATTTGAGACTCACACTCAGCCCAGCAGGTTGCTCCTATTATAAGGGGCACTGGGTGACTGAGGCAGGCTAAGAGACCAATAGTTTCACTCACCTCTTTTGTCTGTTCATTCTGGGTGTATGAGCAGCAAGTACAATGGAGGGCAAAATAGTGTACGCTATTGAAATTATTTTTTTTTTAGATAAATATACATAATATGCTATTCCAGTGTAAATTATGAATCAGTTTCTGCATATCTACACATACCTGCCAGCTAATAGAGAAGATATGAATTGAAGCAAGATGAAAGAACTTATTTTAGCAAGGCAGAATAGATACCTGGATACTTTATTTTTGAAAATTGTTTTGCAAGGTTTTAGCCCTCAAATATTTGTTAATTTGAATTGTTAACCTTCTGTTTTCTTGCAGTAGCCTCCTATAACTTTGGTAGCTCTTTATATCAGTACTTTCTATTTCCTTAGAGCGCTGGAGTGTTTTTGAGCTCTTCTTTGCAACTCTGGAGAACAGTTTATTAGGTGTAACCTGAAAAACTGATTTTTCTCCTTCAAAATGTCTACCACTCAAAAGTGCATTTACTTTATTTTTTATTTTATTTATTTTTTTAGAGCAGGGATGGGGAGAGGGAGAGAGAGAGAAAGAATCTCAAACAGGCCCCACGCACAATGCAGAGCCCGACTCACGACTCAGATCATGACACCAGCTGAAATCAAGAGTTGGACACCTAACTGAATGAGCCACCCAGGTGCCCACCAAACTACTTTTCAATTATAATTGCCCCAGCATTTTATTGTGAAAAATTTCAAATGCACTGAGAAGGTTAATGGATTGTATAGTAAACACTATTATGCCCCTCACTTAGAAATTTCCAACCAAAATTGGACTTGATCACATATGTATTCATTTATCCATCTCTCTTTCCATCCCGGAACTGTTTTTAAGTTTACCCTGTTAGACTGTGCTCAGCCTCAAAAGTTGTTCATTTTAGTAGTATGTCTTCATTTTATTTGTGGGACCCTGCTGTGTCTCCCAGTCTTCTGCTGTTAAAGTTTGACACCTCCCAAGCTGTGACTGTCTCAGGACAGGTCCAGCAGTGATGCTTGTCTGGTCCCTTCCTTAGAGCACATGCCCCAAAGTGGTCTCTTTTTGCAATGAACACGTTAATATTTTGAAGGTAACTTTAGATTTTAAAAAGTTTTGTAAAAATGAAAAGAAACTATTCAGCTTCTTATCTATACTTCATGCATATTTTATTTGATACATATCTATTTTATTTTATTTTTAAAAAATATTTTATTTATTTGACAAAGAGATCACAAGTAGGTAGAGAGGCAGGCAGAGAGAGAGAGAGGGAGAAGCAGGCTCCCCTGCTGGACAGAGAGCTCGATGTGGGGCTCGATCTTAGGACCCTGGGATCATGACCTGAGCTGAAGGCAGAGGCTTTAACCCACGGAGCCACCCAGGCTCTCCGATATATATTTATTTTAAACAGGTAGCCCAGCACATTTGACAATGGAGGCATTTCCTGATTCTTTTTCACACAGATTGTCCCTAAGCTTGCTTTTATTTCAGATCCTTGATTAGGGGGCTTAGAAGAAAAGAGAGGATCAGGATACTTGTATCCTAACCTGAATACTAAGTTTAAGTTCAGGTAACGCTTTTAGATTGTTTTTTATATTTACTTCTGCTTGGTGTCATAGTAGTTTGTAGTCAAATTACAGTCTGTTAGCAGATTGTGAGGTCCTTAAATATTTGCAGAACAATGTTTTATTTATCTCCATATTCACAACGTCAATAAAAATGTTTTGAAGAGTCAGGTGTTCATTATATGCAAATTGAAGGAACCAACCAGACTTAACAACAAAGTCATAGAAATGACCTAACATACATTATGAAGGGGAGTAGAACCGCCGTGTTTAGTTCTGTAATTCTTTAAAATGGTAAAATTATTATTTGAATCCTATAACTCATTTTGCAACTGCTAATATTTTTTAAGTGTAATTGACATGCAGTGTTATATTAGTTGCAGGTTTGTAACATAATGATTTGAAAATTCTGTATTCAGTGCTATGATAAATGTGGTCACTACACAACGTTATTACAATATTATTGACTATATTCCTTCTGCTGTACTTTTTACCTCATGACATTTATTTTATAACTGGAAGTTTGTACCTCTTAATCTCCTTCACTTATTTAGCCTATATCCCCACCCACATCTTTCTGGCAACATTGGTTTGTTCTCTGTATTTAATAGTCTGGTTTTTTTTTTGTTGTTATTGTTATTGTTTGTTCTTTTTTTTTTATTCCACATAGAAGTTAATCATATGGCGTTTGTCATTCTTTTTTGAGTTATTTTACTTAGCATAATAACCTTTCCATGTTGTCCATGCATTGTTGTCAATCTGTGTTGTTGCAAATGGCAAGATTTCATCCTTTTTTTAATGGTTAAGTAATATTTAATTATATATATGTGTGTATACATACACACACACACCTTCTTTATCCATTCATCTATCACTGAACAGTGGGTTGTTTCCATAT